ATACGTGCAGTGCTGTGCTGGTGCCTATCTCGGTGTTATCATGACAGTATTGAATTCACTTGTTGCTCCACAACAGTTAAGAGATTGTTTGGAAAAGGCTATTGTCCAAAAAGAGCAGGGACAAAGATTTGGTTTTCAAAATACTGTGATATTCTTTCCTTTTATACTCTTAGGGTAAGATTTTCCAAGGACCTCGAGATAGTAGCCCTACTCTGGTTCAGTTCATGTGGAACTTGGACTTCTAATTGACCTGCTTCTCCTTTACATCTCTTCATAAGTTGTTCATGTCTCTTTAGATTATCTGTTTTATGTGTTTAAGTGCATGCAACTTCTCATATCTAGCAAGCGGGTGTATGAGGATGGGTAGTGATCGTGTACAGTGACGACTCACACACACAAAATTTAGAAAAATAATCTGGTAACCTGAGTTTGGTGTTATAGAACACTTTTGATTTAGTTTCTACCCTTAAATGCTCATGTCTTAAGTTTACGCTCATAATACGTTATTCCAGCAGATGAGTGAGCTTCACAATCCATTATTCTCTTACCGTCAAGGTAACTGTGATCTGCGACAAAGAAATGGAAGTCTGAGCCAGCAAGGCCCTGTGCTGCAGGTAGTGCTTCCCCAAAGGCAGATGCTAGTTCACCTCTGCCGTTCATGGGATCGGTAAGAAAGGCCCAGGTGGGTTCCAGAAATAATCTGTAAAAGTCATCGGATCTCAAGAATGCAGTACCTCCCCATAGCTTTATTTTATGGCAGCAGTCACTTGGTAACAGAAAGATACAGGAAATTTCCTCAGTTCTGTGTTGTAGTCTTTTTCTTTGTGTCTTAAGTAAAGCTTTTGCGGCAATTAGACACCCTTGAAGATCTTACTCAGGCCAAAAGGAGCTGATAAAAGTGAATTCTAGGCATACAAATTAGTTGTACATAAATAGCGGCTTTCAGAATAAAAAGCATAGTAGCTCCTTTTCCAAGTTAAATATACATAATATCCTTCAGTATGCTGAACCAAAGGGTGTGTATGGTTTTTTTTTAAGATCAAAACCCAGTTTTACTATGCAAGCTTGGGCTAAACGGTTGCAAAAATAATACAGAGCAGCGCTTTCAGGCAGAAAAGGGTGAAACGGTTGTTGGAAATTGTGTCATTTCCTAGTCTTCTGACATGAGAGGCAGCGACTGTGTGATGAAAGGTCCTTTTCATGCCACGTGGAGAAAACCGTCATGCAGGTCAACACAAAGATCCAGTATATGCTCAGAGTTTAGTAGCCAGAAAAATTTTTACTTGGGACATTTCTCTACTGTCTAGACACGACCAAAAAAAACTCAGGTATCAACTACTATGCAGATGTTTTTCAGCACTGCACAGAACTAAACTGAACTCTTTCAGTTTCGTGTTGGAGTTCCCTGGCACGTTAAGAAAAACTCCCAGGTTTGAGTGAGCTGTCTACAAGTCCTGGATGAGGGAGAGGGGAATCAGAAGGATTTTCATTTCTAAAATGTTCACCAAAATCTCAGAAAACAAACTCATCCAAGTAATTTGCTACACATAAAAAGTAGTCTGGGGTGAATTTTTCCCTCAGCTTTTACAGTATTGATTTGCTGAGCTTTGAGTGAAAAGCTTTTTGATTTGTAACTCTGTGCTTGTGAAATTAGTAAAACTGCTTGAGCAAATACAACTGCAGAATGCTTATGCAGAGTACTGCAGGCACATGCTTTTGTACGCTACATTCGATTCATTCTCACTGTGTAGTATTTGCTTTTTTTTTTTTTTGTAAGTGCTATAAATAATCCCTGAGCAGACTTTGCAATACTGTACGAGTGGGTGAGATTAGATATCTGGAAAGTAGGGATGGGTTCTCCTGCAAGCACGATCACTATGTGATCTTGAGTATGTCACTTCTTGCAGTGCATGTTTTGTCATTGTAAAGATCCTAATTCTTCATATGGCTCTTCTGAGCCAATAATTATTCTAAAACATGTTAAAGATGCTGAATTGGAAGGCATTAGTTAAGGGAAGTTCATCGTTATAAGGTGTACATAGGTATGTGATACAGTACTTGTGCGTGGCCCAGAGGCTGTAAGATAGAAGTTTAGAATAATCAAGAAGACAGGTAGGCAAAACTGAAGCTTTCTTCTCTTACCTTCTATTGTACTACGTGACTCGACTGTCTAACAAGAATTAATATAGAGACAAATCAGTACATTTTAAAATTTACCCCTTAAAAATGTGTATGTATTAGAGTTCTGGGTAGACTCATCTTTGGATCCAGAACTCTTAGTTCTCCAAGTTATATGGCTGAGGATCAAAAGAAGGACATAGATACCAGAAACAGGACTTGAGTTCAAACTATGGAATTTTCCACTTACATCTCACCTAACCCAGCAGTGCATTAAAGCTTCATTTTTCCTTTTTTTTGAGTTCAACTTTCCCTGAGTAGCTCCTCTCCTGTGCTCAGAACAACAGCTACAAAGAGCCGTGTTCTCCCCAGTTGTTGTGCTTAGAGCTGTTTTCAACTTTCTGATTTGCAGGCCACCTTGCAGACCCCATGCACAGTTCAGATGAATTAGGCATAGAGTTGGAGGTGTGGGAGTATGGAACAGGGCAGGAGCTGGAGAAAAGCATCAATGTGTTGCTAGAAGTATTTGGTAGGTGTGGAGAACAAGAGGTAGGTATTAATAAAGTATCTCGCACAGAGCAGGAGACCTGGCAATGCTGTTCATTCTGCCCTGGCCATGTAACAGAGCATGAGTTGTATAGGTCGTTATACTGTAACAGGAGTGCGTACAGCCCCTCTCTTACGCAGAAAATCCATCCCTGCTCATGCCGTTATGCTGTTCGCAGTTTTGGAGCCAGGGAAGTCTCTGTTGGAAATGCAGCTCCCTTTCAGTTGCAGTCCAGTGCAGACTCATGAAGAGTGAGCTGTGTTCGGTTGTTCGAAAGCATGCAGGAGCTTACCCAGCAGAGAGAGACTTGCTGTCTCTGGGTCTGTAGTGAATGAAGACACCTTCTGGGAGTCCGTCCCAGCATGGAGCAGAAGATAAAATGCGAACCTCTGCCTCTGGTATTTTCTCTTGTCTATCTATGGGCATCTGTCCTGTGTGTTGACTTTAGATAGCCCTCTGAACACCGTAGCTTGGGAACTCTAGGGAGAAGTATGCTATGGTGTAAGGTGGAAGAGTTGGATTACTCTGATTGAGTTGCTTTCTAATTGGAAGGCTGTTCTAGAAATCTCTGGATATTTTTATCTGGAAAGAGAAGCCAGTCTAAACATGAAGTATTGTAGCTGCCTCTGCTCTCGAGTAGGTTCCTTTGATATGATTAGGATCATTTGCTTAGGCTGTTTTAAGACAGTAGGTACTTGGCTTGGTATTTCTTTCCAGCGAGAAGAACCAAAGATAGTCCATCTCTGTCAGGGCTAGCAGACTGCTGGAGGCATGGCTGTGTGTGAACCATTATATGGGGCTGATGCACGGCTCCTTGGATGCCTCTGTATGGCAGCATCAAACCTGGAGTGGAAGGATGGAAATTGTACACTCCACCCAGCTAGACTGAGGTCTACGAGAAGGTGTTTTCCTCTTTGCAGAGCTGTAGGATCAGTGCCTCGTAATGAGCCGACTGCAGGAGAAATGGGTAGTTTAAGCACCATTCTCAAACTCCCTTCTCTCACTTTTCACATTGCATGTTTTTGAGACTCACACTGAAGTGATAGTAGCAGTGAAAGTTTTATAGCTACATGTGAAATGGTGATTAAGTGAACGGATTTTGAGACAGGCTTTTCAGTGGCATCCTCAGCACTGCTAGCTCCAATACCGATTTGGTAATTAATTCAGTTGTAAAATTGCATAGAACATTAGCTGGGCTGGTGTTGGCACTGCACAGAGAAGGTGTAATTAGCATAATAAGGGGTATGTTGTTATTAGCACCCTGGGACTGCAAGGCAATGTTGGAAAGGGGTGCCTGGGAGTTAGACTTTTCAGGGTTCTACTGCTGTCTCTGGCCTTGACTCCACTGTAGCACCAGGCGAACAGATTTCTGGCTGAAATTATCAGCTGCACTGTAGTAGTAGTAGGAGATACTGTGTCTGAGAGAGAGTTTTCTGGAGGATTCTGGATATTTTCTGGAAACCAGGAGTGCTGTATGGATGCATGTAATCCCTGTTGGTATCGTCAAGTTTCATTAGGGCTTGCATTGTCAAGGCTTTACTCTTTCACATTCAGGCGATATGTTTCCAGTATTAAATGTGCTTTGATACAATTACCTTATTTTACTGTTTGTAGGCAGCTTGTCCTAGAGCACAAGTTCTGGCAGAAGTGTTCCGCCTACTTCCATTGTGCCCATTAGTATGTTTTCCACTTGCGTGTATTGTTTTGGTCAGATGTAATTTACTTGAAAAACAGCTTTTAGAAAGTGTGAAGAGCATTCTTTGCAGTGTGTCATTGGCTGAAATAAAGCTACTGTGTAAAGATTGCATCTTCTTAGGTAACAAATCTTTATAATATTCGGCAGATGTAACCACTGCGTTTTAAAATAAATAAATAAATAAGATTTAGAGCAAGCTGTGCAATGCTAGAAATACACTAATTGTAGTTAATTTTCAGCAGCTGAATTGAAGTTACTGTCAGACTACAGTAAACCCAGTGTCTATCTTTGCACAGTGGAACAGGCTACAGATAGTGATTTTTATCAAGGAAGCCTCCCGGAGAAACAGTGCTGCTGCATTCTTTTCCGTTTCACAACATTGCCAGCAGCAGGTTTATTCTACCAGGATATCAGTTTCCCTCCTAGGGAAGGTGTTTCCTTGCTTAACAGGGATATAATGAGGAGGCTCTTTCAAGTTTGCTTGGAAATGGCTTTCTCTGTGCTGAACTGAGATTTTTAGTCCTTGTTTTTCATAAACACTGTATTCACGTATTCATTCTATTAAAAAGTCTCATGTAGCACGTTCATTTATGGTTTAATGCAACTGGTCCTTCTTCATGTTTTTAGGGAGTCTTTGAGATGGCAGCGATGGCAGAACTCAACAAAGTCTGTTCAGTGACTGAAATGCCAGAAAGAGACGATGCTAAACGCAGTTTCCATCACAGAATGTTCTTGGAACCCCAAGAGAAGAAGAAGAACATGAAGGCTCTGGTGGTTAAGCAAGCAAAGAAAACTTGCAGCTGCACTCCAGCCAAAGTTAAAGACTCTGTTTTCAGTTTCTTTCCTGTCTTGCAGTGGCTTCCTAAATACAAACTAAGAGAGTACCTCCTGGGAGACGTAATGTCTGGTGTGATTGTGGGGGTCTTACTAGTCCCACAGTCAATTGCCTATTCTCTCTTGGCTGGACAGGAGCCTATTTATGGCCTTTATACATCCTTTTTCGCTAGCATTATTTATTTCATATTTGGAACCTCTCGCCACATCTCAGTTGGCGTCTTTGGTGTGATTTGCCTGATGGTGGGACAAGTGGTGGATCGTGAGTTACAGAGAGCTGGCTATGACTTAGAGCCAGCTGCGCTCAGCGTGCTCGCAGGTACAGCAGCACATGTGAACACCACCGCTTTGCCTGTGAATCAGACATCACCAAAGCTGCTGTGTGATAAAAGCTGCTATGCAATTACAGTGGGAGCCACCATGACCTTCATCGCTGGAGTTTATCAGGTAAGAGAAGGTGGACAAACAGGATTCTGTGGAAGTAATTTTGGTTCTTCTTTAAATGTTTGTCCACATTAACAGCCTCCTGGGCTTGCACGTGTCCTCAGTCTGTATCCCGTGGGAGGGGACATAGGGAGGATTGGAGGTCTCTCCAGTTACTGTGGTGCAGGAAACTCCTCTGTGTCCTCTCCTTTTCTTAGTAGCATTTTGTGCTTGCATTGCTACTCGGTTGGGGACTGTAAGGACCTGCATGTAACCACCTGCTGCTCTCACACATCTGCTCACCACCTTCCTTGCTATGGCCTGAAGCTTGTTTTTTTTTTGGCTGGCTTATAGCTTAGATCTCTGTTGCATTGGGACAAAATGTGGTGTGTCAGCTTTTAATTCCAGACTTCAGTCATTTGTCTTTTATCAAAAATAATCTGAGCAGTACAAGTATCTTCAGGGTTTTTTTTGTTACTGTGCTTGTCAAAATTTGCTGTTTGCCCATTCAAAGCCAAAACAATGCCATTGTATGAAAAGGATACTACAGAGGTGATCAAATATATTTGAAATAACTTTTAATTATTACCATATTAAAATATATTACTCAACAATATTTTACCACTTCGTCTCTGCTCACTTCCTAGAATTCACTGCTTGCTGAGATTAAAGCAGGTATCTTTGGTTTTAGTGTCATGCATTAACCAGAAAGGGTTTAGTTTTAACGGTACTGCAGAGCTGTGGTATTTCAGTTTGTGAGTTCGCATTTATTTGTTTTACAGTGACCTCCAGAGTGACAGCTAATCAAACTGTATAGGAACAGAAAAGGAAATATACCTGTGATACTCTAAAACACTGGGTTTAGACACAACCTGGGACTTTTTATTGTACTGCAAGTTAGTGTTGAGTAATTTCAGAGACGTTCCGGGACTCCTGAGGTACACTGGATTTTGTGTTCCATCATTGTAGGATGGGTGCAGTTTTGGAGCTGTGAATTGCACTTAATTTTCTTTGCAAGCACAAGTACAGTTAAGGTTCTTTATATGAAGAAGATAACTTTATCTTAAGTCCTTCTGAATGTTAGGCATATTCTACTTGCTGTCTCTCTGCCTGCTAACCAATAGGTCTTCACATCCTCAAATATTTTTTTTACTGGAAGCTCCAACCAAAATCACCTGCTCTTTGTATCAGAAGCTTTACAATCAAATGGCAAAAAGCAAGCCTGCTTATACCGGTTACCTAGCATAACTAGGTAAGACATTATTGCTAATGTTCTACAGTTAGAAAAGTCTTGAATTAACTTAATCACCAAGGCTGTGAGGGAGCCTTTTTTGAGCTTGGCTCTGAGCCGATGTCCAGATCCTGAACCAGCCTTCTCTTCAGTAGTGCTTTGTGGTTCTTCTTTCCAGTCATGAGCCTAGCCTTCTTTGTTTTGCCTTTAACTACCTAATAGAATATATCAAATTGACACTACTTAAAGTTTAGTAGCTGTAAGTTCTGGCCTGCAGTCTTCAGATAACATTCCTGTAGGCCAGAGCAGGGAATTAAAAGGTTTCTTGCAAACTGCTGTGAGAAGATCCATGCACCATTTGGCATGAAGGTTGATAGGAAGGAAGGGACATTTACCAGGTAAGAAGACACAGGTGTAGAGTAGGTATCCATAAACCCAGTCATTCCCATGAGAGAGTGCCAAGGATTTGTCCATTCAACTGGCATTAATAAAGTGAATGACAAGGCGCTTAAAAAATTTATCTCTATTTATATAATCTGCATCAAAAGAGTTTGCGGCTCATATACTTTGAGTCAAATGCACCAAACTTTATGCAGTGCAAAGTACAGCTGTCAGACCATAAGCTGTATTTTTATTGTAGGTTGTGAGCTCCAGTGTAAGACAGAGAAGGACAACCAGAAAAGTTTTGGATCTCTGCAAAGTTCATAGAGATTATAGGAACTTGAGAGAGAAATGGCAAAAGCAGCCAGTATTTCAAATGCTTTTTTTCCCCAGGCTTTCTTTTTTGCCTGCTAGGATAACTAGAAGTTACAACTGAACCAATGAGCAAACAGTAAACACTGTTCAGAGTGTTCAGAGTATGAAGACCTCCAAAAAAGCTGGCTCTGTGTTAAAAATGCATTTCATTTGTGTGGTGCACCAGGAGGCTGTTTTCTTTATGCTCACACCATGTCTTGTCCTCCAGGGCCATGCACAGTGTCTTTTTTTATCCCACCTCCCTCCATAGCCCCACAGTGATGACATCTGCAAGATTTGTGTCCTAATCTGTTGTGTGTGCTTAATTCCTTCCAGGTGGCCATGGGTTTCTTTCAAGTGGGCTTTGTCTCGGTGTACCTTTCCGATTCATTGCTGAGTGGATTTGTCACGGGTGCCTCCTTCACCATCCTAACCTCGCAAGCCAAGTATCTCCTGGGCCTAGACATTCCACGGAGCAGCGGCATTGGGTCCCTTGTAGTCACGTGGATAAACATCTTCAGAAACATACATAAGACCAACATCTGTGATCTCATCACCAGCTTCTTGTGCTTTCTTGTCCTTGTCCCAACTAAAGAGCTTAATGAACATTTCAAATCCAAGCTCAAGGCTCCAATACCAGTTGAACTAGTTGTGATTGTAGCAGCTACTCTGGCATCTCACTTTGGGAAGCTGAGAGAGACTTACGGCTCGAGCGTTGCTGGACACATCCCAACTGGGTTTCTGCCACCTCGCGCTCCAGACTGGAACCTGATTCCTAATGTGGCTTTGGATGCTATCCCCATAGCTATTATTGGCTTTGCCATCACTGTCTCCCTCTCAGAGATGTTTGCCAAGAAGCATGGTTACACCGTGAAGGCCAACCAGGAAATGTATGCCATTGGCTTCTGCAACATCATTCCCTCTTTCTTCCATTGCTTCACAACAAGCGCAGCTCTTGCCAAGACTCTTGTCAAAGAGTCCACAGGCTGTAGGACACAAGTGTCTGGCATGGTGACTGGTTTGGTAATCCTATTAGTCCTTCTTGTGATTGCACCTTTGTTTTATTCCCTTCAGAAATGTGTCCTTGCTGTCATAACCATAGTAAACCTCCGAGGAGCCCTGCGGAAGTTCAAGGACTTGCCAAAAATGTGGCGTTTGAGCAGAGTGGACACAGTGATCTGGCTAGTTACTATGGCAGCCTCAGCACTCATCAGTACTGAGATTGGCCTTTTGGTTGGTGTTTGCTTCGCTATGCTCTGCGTCATTTTCCGAACTCAGAGGCCAGAGGCACCGCTGCTTGGCTGGGTGGCGGAGTCTGAGACGTATGAATCCCTGTCTGCTTATAAGAACTTGCAAACCCAGCCAGGAATTGTGGTGTTCCGTTTCGAAGCACCGCTCTACTACATCAACAAAGAGTGCTTTAGATCCACCCTGTACAAGCAAACTGGTGTCAACCCGGTCTGGGTGAAGGCAACAAAGAAAAAGGCATCAAAAAGAATGCTTAGAGAGAAAGAGGTGGATTCTGATGACAACCAGACCAATGTCTCCCTGGATTTTGTCTCCGAACCTCTGGGGTTTCACACAATAGTGATTGACTGTTGTGCAGTACAGTTTCTGGACACAGCAGGGATACGCACACTCAAAGAGGTCTGCAAGGACTACAGAGAGATAGATGTCCAGGTGCTGCTGGCCCAGTGCAATCCTTCGGTGAGGAGTTCCCTGATCCGAGGAGAATTCTTTAAAGAGGGGGAGGACCACCTTCTCTTCCACAGTGTGCACCAGGCTGTGGACTTTGCGTTGGGTGCACAGGGGCATGGTGGGGCCAGTGCTTCTAAGAACTAGTTGTGGAAGGGCAGCAAGTTGGAACAAAGCATGGGAAAAAAACATCTGTGGGTCTGTATGTCTATGCAATATATATGCACTCGTAAAAGGAGGCAGGATTGTTGTTAACACACTGGTTACTGTGCAGTCTGTTTTGATGCTTTAAATTTGCCTGTTGGGTGTAGTGATTCAATAGGTAGTACTGAATGAAGGCGATTCTTAACTTGATTACGGTCAATCTGTGAATCTAAGAGTTTTCACATGGTTCATCTCATTTCTCTTCTCTTTTGAACTTTCCATGTGTCAGTTCCCCTCTGACTTTTGGTCATTGGCATTGAAGTCTTTATTGCAACCCTGTCTTTATGAGTGGGATGGGATTTTGAAGTAGTCTGGGCATCCTCTCCAGCCGGATAATGGGAGGCAACTTGCCGCTTGTCTCTTCTTGTTCTTGTATGGCTTTTCTGTATCGCCACACCCTTGTATTTTGCAAGGAATGACTGATGGGGACTGTTTGCTCTGGTCTTTACTGTGGAGTGATAGCTCTCTGCATTTGAGATAGATACATATATAAAATCTAAACATGCACACAAAGATCTTAATGAATAGCTTCTAACCATGTATCACCTCCAGAGGCTTTGTCATAGTTTCCTCAGAGCCTAATGCAGCCAGGCAATGGGGGAGGCATGGTTATCCCATTTCTGCCTGGGCCTTTCAGTGCCAGGAAACTTTGCCTCATTAGTTTAATTTGTTTTAAATTATTTTTATCCAGAGGTGACTTGTTAGAAGTCTGATTCGTGCTTACGGTCAGTTATTTGTTTTCCTAATATTTAGGAGCTCTTTATAATTGCAGACATTATATGTGGAAAATCTCTAATTCTTGAGTTTCAACAGAAAACAGTCCCTTATAGCTGGTTTTATGTGCCAGGCAGACAGAATCACAAGCACCAAAACGAAAAGGGTCAAATAGATTATCCAACACGTGTCCAAATTCATCCATGTCACACAGACTTCATGTGTGAATGCAGGTTTTATTGCCCATAGACCCTTTACGCATGCTCTGCCATGGACTTTCTGTAATGGGAGTGGACGAGCCAAGAAATACAGCCATTCGAAAAGGAACCAGAGGAATTATTTGCTCAACGTTATTTCACCATATTAGTGTAAATAAAACTTTGTACTTTGATTTTAAATTTTGCAGAACAGTGAAAAGTGCCTGTTCTTCATGCTAAAATACAAGCACCGGATAAGAAGAGATTCTCTTTTCTTACAGCAATAAAATACAATTATGAAGGCCGAATTGAGAGATTAACAGTTTTTACTGAGTATCAGCTATACATAGCACACAGTACATCTGTAGAAGATGGTGGTTTCTCCCAAGGGAGTTTACAGTCTGAATTGCAGGTTCTTCACAGCTTTTAAAAGGGAAAAGGTGTTGTAGATATACAATATTCTCGTCCTTAATCGTTCCAAAAATGAGTCATGAGTCAAAAAAGGAATAAAATGCAATATGAATTGTGAAATGTTTTCTAAATAGAAATGTATTTTGAGTTTAGGATTGTTTTCTTTTTTATCTGAGCTAGGAGCAGTAACTATTCCCTTCTTTTTATGAAAGCTGAAGTGTCACCAGCGGCTGGGTGCCAGCTTGGGAAGGCTGGTTACTGCGGGGGTTTGTGCCTGGTCACCGACAGGCTGGCCGGTGGCAGGGGAGTGGTGCAGACCTGTGCACGTGCATTCACTGCATGGCAGTGCCGTGGCCTGGCGGAGTCCCTTTTCAGCACAGTTTGTTCACATCACTGGAAAGCATCTCTAGAACTTTGAACAAATCGTCGATGCCATTTTTAAATGCTGATTTTTAACTAAAGTTTTTTAAGAGAGCAGAATAGTGCTAGAAGCAGTGCAGAGGGGAAATCTGCTGTACCTACTGACTTCTATGCCTCCTCTTGTCCCTGCCTCACAGCTTAATTTCTGTTCTATAGGAAGGAGGAATCTCAGAATAATTGTTTTTGAGTTTATGCATCTGTCCAGAAAAGGAATGTTGTTCCCAAGTGCAGCCTTCAGATCTGCAGGCCAGACTGGAAGATGGTACAAATCAGTTGATCTCCATTCCCAAATGTACTAGTCAGCAATTATCAGTCTAAATGAAGAATTAAGCGATCATTAGCACATTCATTAATGACAACAACACAGCATTATGGAAATTAACGCTCACGGTCTCAGCTATACTAAAGACTCCTGGAGATGTCTTTAGTAGTCTCCTGCTAAATGTCAGGCTCTTTTTTTACGTTTATTGCTGCTATAGATAGTGGTGCTAGTTCCTCCTAATGTGACAGTTGCGCTAATAAATGTTTCACTTGTGCGAATGTTTTGACACGGAAGCAGTTTTCAGTCCGCTTCATAAAAGAGGGAAAGGTACTGGAATGGGGCACGCGGTACTTATTTTTGGATTTATAATGACATTGCCAACCTTAGTCTTTCTTGTGTGATTTAGTGGTCCTAATTTCCTTGTAAGACATTGCAGCTCCGTCTGCTCCTCTCTAATTCACTGTGAGACCCACCTCCACCTTTTCAACACTTGTTTCTCTTTTGCTGTGAGACATTGCATGTGATTGACTGTAAACAGAAGAATCATTGCCTTTGTGGATGTTTTATGCCTTTTTATGCCTTTGCTATTATAGAATCATAGAATCACAGAATGGTTTGGGTTGGAAGGGACCTTAAAGATCATCTAGTTCCAACCCCCCTGACATGGGCAGGGAAACCCTCCACTACACCAGGTTGCCCAAAGCCTCATCCAACCTGGCCTTGAACACTTCCAAGGATGGGGCATCCACAACTTCTCTGGGCAACCTCTTCCAGTACCTCACCACCCTCAATGTAAAGAATTTCTTTCTTATATCTAACCTAAATCTCCCCTCTTTCAGTTTAAATCCATTGCCCCTTGTCGTATCACTACACACCCTTGTAAAAAGTCCCTCTCCAGCTTTCCTGTAGGCCCCCTTTAGGTACTGGAAAGCTGCTATCTGTGAAAGCTTATGTGTGACCTGCTGTTCAGTTTTCATGCCAGATCTATTGATAAGGCTAGAGCTCCTGAACAGTGTAAAACAACCCCCAAACCCCACCAGTCCTCTGGGTGCTGGGGCTGGGAGAAGGGGGCTGTGGGCAGCTGGGGGGGGAGCACCACTGCGCGTGTGCCCCCATGAGCTGGAGCCTTGGCCTGGTGCGAGGCTGTGCGGGGTTTGTGTAGCCACAGGAGTAACGGTGGTAGCCAGGAATGACCGATTAACCTGGGAGACTGCTGGTCTACAGGAGATCATAGAAACTGGAAGAAGAGGAAACCCTTTGAGTTAAGGGTGAAACTCTTCAGGCAAATAGTTTGTTTCAGGGCATTATCTTCTGTCGTGTTTTTTTTCCACATGCTTTGGAAAGGTGATTAAGTGGTTGAGGTGATTTACATTTTTTTAAATTTTTTTTTACCGACATGGCCAAGCTAATGAAGCTGTAAGGTTGATAGCAGCCATCTGCTGCTTCTGCCACACGAAGTGCCTTGTACCTCTGTGGCTTATTTTGCTTTGCTGAGTCTCAATGTAGGATACAGTTGTGAAACTTCAGTATTGTTGTAACTGTCCACTCTAGAAGGGCTTTGCACTTCTGCTGTGCTGGCATAGATGAAAGGAGCAATGTCTGTAGTGCAGACTTTGTGCTGTGAATGACCTTGTTAAGTCCCAAGAGTTACTTGCACTTGGTTATGTTTGTAAGCCTTTGTAGGATCAGCTGCTCATGTGGAAAACTACCCGATCTTTACTATTTCAGTCAAATTCCATCTGAAGTGGAAATAATTCTGAGTCTTGCTTTTTCTTTTGAGATCATTACAATGCTAAAAGTGAGGCCTCTGGTTGGGTAAAATGGCAAATATTTAATACATATATATATTTAGTTCATAGCGTAATTAGTATCTTTATATTTTATTTTCTAGAGATAGTATAAGCTAAGGCATATTGCTATTCTCTAATGTGCAAACACACAAAATACTACAGCAGTGGATGGAGATTCAAATCTCCATTGAGTAACTTGATTGCCAAAAGTGTTTGAATTCCAGTGCTTTCCAGCTCTGAAAGCACTTAGCTCTTAGTCTGGCTCCTAAATGATCTCAGGACTCCACAGGAAGATAGGAAATGAAACATTTTACTGGACTTGGGTCCAAGTTATTTATGTCTAATTTTTGACTTAAGGAAGTAAATTTTATATATATTTGAAATGCAGCTGAAACAGTTAAAGAGGGGTAAAGCCTCACTGTTTCTGGTAAGCACAGGATGCTTTGAGTTCATCAGCCTCTTGAGTCCCTGACTGTCATCTCTGGTACCTTGGTATGTTCTGGGGTATGATTTTTGAATTATTTTAAATTCAATATAATTTTAGATATTTGTGACATAAGGTTTTGCAGAATAAAGAAAATGGCGAGTTTTGCCTGGAGTTGCTTTTTCAAGTTGGAGAATCAGTTTAACCAAACAGCCTGAGGAATGGAATAGATCACATCGGTCAGCTGACCTAAACAGTTTACAAAATAGTTTATTTGAGTGAAATGTGGAGAAGTTGCATAGTATGTATAAAAGATGACCTTACTTTTTCTGTGACTTATCTGTGCAGTAAAAAACAGGTGTAATGTTTCCCCCAGTTCAGTGGTGGAACCCAGGGTGCTGGGGAAGCGACGTGCTCCGTGGCGTCAGTCCGTGCTGGATGGGTGTTTGCTGACACGGACCTTGCCTTGTGCCCGGTGCAGGGAGAGGTGTGTCGCCATCAGCTCCTCACTGAGTGCTGTGCTCACCGACCACACGTTTGTGATGGGAGTTGTGTTCTGTCAGTCTTCTTGTTGTGTCCTGCGGTCAGCTCTGGGGTACGTCCTCTGTGTGTTGTTGAATCTCCTTTACGCTGTCTCTGCCCGTGCGATCTGTGTATCAATTGTCATTTTTAAAAGCTACTGTGCCTTATTGTCATTGTAGAAGATTTGTTAGCACAAGAATTTT